GATAAGAACTTCCCGCACGCTGCCCAGCCGAGTGGAATCCGTCGATTGACCTCTTGGTCGAAGTTGGACTTACCTAGTCGGACTATTTGCCCCAGGTATACTCGTCTACGACTTCGAGCTTAGTGCTCCTAACACCTACCGGCATATGTGTGACATGGATGTGTGAGATGGATGGAAACCGGCTTGTTTGGGAAACTGGAAATCGTCGAGTCTGCGTGCGAGACGATTCGTAATGACTCTCGAAAGGAGCACATAGACGTGGTTCAGAAGGGAAATCGGTCTGTAGTTCTTCAAGAGAGCGTGCTCCTTTCTTGAAGAACGAGACCACCACACTTCTGCTCTATGCCTCTACGCTCTTCAATTCCGTCCTTCATGGTGGCACTACCATGGAGGACGGAATTGAAGAACATCTGAAGGACTTTAAGTACTAGTTTTCCACCCGCTTTTAGAAGCTCCGCTGTAATTCCATCCTAGCTTGGGGCCTTGCCGTTTTTAAGGTGCTGGAAAGCCATTTTAATCTTACTCAGACTGACGTCCGGAATATCATAGGAATAGTGTCTTATGACTTACTCTTGGATCGTTACTCACACTTGTATGTGGCTCCAACGAGGATGTGTACAGCTGCCGCACTCGGAATAGAACCTCTCAATCTCACTCAAAATCTCAGGTGTCCCGGAAACGATGCTGCCGAACACAAATCAACAGTGCCAATCGTTTACTGATACTGCGTTGAGTATCTACAATAAAGTTGAAACATAAAGGATTTATTTGTGAAATCGGAAATATTGTTAAAAGAAAATATGTTTAATGATTATCTCTTATATCATTAAAAAACTATTTGAGTTTGCAATTACCCATAAAAAGGATCCATTTTCTTTTAAACTTACTTTTTTGACGCAAAATCGATTTTTTATTTCTTTTTTAAATGTTTTTTGTTTGAATTTACAATTTTTTTATTTTCTTAAACACTGACCGGCTTCAGTTGTAAGCGGCTGGAAATTCGTCGAACCTCAAATTTGGTCTTCAACGTGTCCTGAAAACAACTATTTTACAACAAACCTATATAAATTTAGTAACTCTTCATATTTTAAATATCGCACAAAGTTTCAGACATAATAGCAGAGAAAACCGTGTACAGAGTGGTTTTTCGATTATCGAACTACTTGCTCGAAGCCCACACTTTAGATTAATGTTGTTTAAGTTCTACGTGAATGAAGTCGCCAACTCGTATGCTATAACACAAAAATACGTGTTAGAGTCATGCTGCAGCTAAATGGGTCGGCTTGACTAAGGTAGAACCACGCTCTCACACAATACTATTGTAAAATTGAAGCGTAACGCTGCTTTGTTTCGTATGGTAAGTGTTCAGAACTGGAAAACTTTTTTACTAGATAGGAAGTGTTTCATTTTAGTCCTCAGGGTGACAACGCATCTGCATATTGATTCGTATTTGAGGATGAATTTAGATTTATCTATGGGCCACCGCATCCACTTACTATCAGGTGGACTGTGTGCTAGTTTATCATTCTTATTTTATAAAATAAAAATATATAGTGATAATAAATCAACAATTTTGAAACAGCTTCTCTTTCAGGCTGGATCTTTCTACCACTCGTTCGGCTGGTATCTTTCTACAACTATGCTGTCATCTGCATACCCATAGATACCGGACTTAATAAATGATTAATAAACAGGAGTAAGAGTGAAGCATGGAGAACGGATCCCTAAGCAGCAACAACTTTTAAAGAATCACGTGTAAAAAGAACTTAAAGTATTTATTTTTTATGCCTAGTAGTGGACTTCTACAAGCTTCTGAAGAAGAATAAATAAAAGAAAAACAGAGATATCCACAATCCTTATAATATTGTTATTTATAACATAGTTCATTTATTACATTAAAACGATTCAAGAAAAAATTTCGAAGTTATCTGAAATAAAATACTTTTTTCTAAATATTCCATTAACTATTTCTCTTCAACACATCAACCGATTTTGATGCGGTTTGCGGTATTCGACTGCGTTTTTTAAGTTTAGGAGCTGATTAGATATTGGAATTGATCATTATATCTGTTTTAAAGTAATTTCAAAAAGACATTTTTTTTCATCTAGGTTTGTTGAAGCCCTTTCGAACGCTGCCGAGTTCGTTCACATCGGTCAAGTCATTCAAATCAAAAGTTATGAGAGGGTTACATACATCCATACACACACGCACACACACACATGCGTGCGCGCGCGCTCTCACGTACATACACATACAGACATAGTGACATCCTTGTAGAAATAGTCAGAACGACTTCCTAGGATCTCAAAACATCGAGATATGATGAAAACTCGATTTTCGAAAATTGAGGTGAAACCAATAACTTCCCGTCTTTCTGAAAATCATTGATTTTCATAGCGGGAACTTAAAAATCGGTACTGTAATCAGCAGTGCGATTATGTGCCTCTGGTGGTTATCTTGGTTTGTTCACGTTAAATTGTCAGCCAAATAATCGATACTAGTGCTCTAGTAACGGTTATAAACAGATGACATTTTTTCATTCACATCCCGAAGGCAAACAATTCCCACGAATTTTCTTTAACAGAACCGTTCTTTTGGAGTAGGAAACAGGGGTATACGAGTTGAGGATTTCGTCAATTTTTTGGGTTTCGAAGTTAAACAACAAGGAACCCTTATAGTTTCGCCATGTTCGTTGAGCCTTCTGTCCGTCCGCATTTTTACTCAGAGACCCTAGGTGATACAAAGCTGTTATTCGGTAAAGTTATAGATATAAATGACGCCTACAAAATTGTAAAATAATATCTTGAAAAATATTTTTACTTTGGCGGTGTACCCATATAGGTATTTTTTTTCACTCGTCTGTTCCATCATGTGATGTGTCGTTAGATAAATATTGTCGTTAGATAGATAAATATTGGCGTAACGGAACAACATTTTTTGGTTCAGGGGTCCATTTATGAAATATTTAGCTCAAATTGGTATTTTTTATTAGAGATATGTGTCCTTCCCTCTACCAACTAAACGGAAATGTGAAAAGTATGCAAGATAGTAGTATATATAAGAGTAGATAGAAATATAGAAAACTATCATAACATTTTAAATAGGCTTAACAAATTAACTAGTGACTTTTGACCAGCTTATAAAATGCATTAAGAATCGAAATACAAAAGCGTTGTCACCCATGAGGACTAATGGAATGGAATGGCTCGATTCCAGTAAAACGGGTCTCCGGCTATCTACACTCACCATATGAAACACAGCAGCATTACGCTGCTATTTTACGCTGGTATTCTGTGACAGCGTAGTCTTGCACCGGTTGAGCCGACCCATTCGTGCTACAACTATAATATAGCTACAGCGTGGCTCTACCACGTAAAAACTTTTGTCTGGTTTTTCAAATAAAGAGTATATTACACGTAGACAGAGATAAACACGCCACACAACCCCCCCCCCTTTTTATTTATTTTATTTTTTTTAAAAAAAAAAAAATTTTTTTTTTTTTTTTTAATTTTTATAATAAAAAAAAAAAAAAAAAAAAAAAAAAATAAAAAAAAAAAAAAAAATTTTTTATTTTTTAATAATATAATATTAAAAAAAAAAAAAAAAAAATTAAATAACCGGTTAAAAAAAAAAACCTCCCCTGGAAAAAAAGAAAAAAACTAAACACCCCCCCCCCCCCCCCCCCCCCCCTAATGCTGAATGCTAGTATTCTCTATCTACGGCATTACATGTATATGTCTACTGGTATAAGCAGCAGTTGTTTTTTTTTCATTTGTCGTTTTATTAACTCGGTCCTTCAGGCACAGCAGTTAAAAAATAAAAATTGCTAAAAACCTATAATTCTAATTTCTTACTACTTGCATTTCGTCTAAATGCTTAAACCTGAATAGCACAACAACGTAAGACTTTTTTTCACTATTTCAATTTTAATAAGTATCCATTCGTAGTCAAGTAATCAGGTATAAGATAGTATACAAAGGTAATTTTTTATAAAAAAAAAATAACCACGTGTGGGATAGAGGGGTATGTCCGCCCGCTTCGCTCGCTCACTCGATCCCGCCAAACCCTTTTAACCGAACCTGTTTGAGACGGGATGCCCCAAGTCCCAAATTGGCTTTGCTTGCTTTTGCAACAAATAAAACACCAAAATATTAACTTTTATAATGAGTTTTATTTAAAGAGTTAGCCATAGTCTTTGCTAACCAGTCGTGAATCTTGCTGGTCAAGTAGTTATTTTGCGGATTGACGGTTTATAAGACAAACTCATGTTATTCGAAGCTACCTATTTTTGATTAAATTACTGAAAATTATCAAGATTATTTGCGAAACAAAAATTGCTGAATTTTTTTTATTGCAAACAGAACCTTTAAATGCTAACCCAATTATTTAAATGCTGTTTTTGTGACTTACCAAATTTTATAAGGGCTTAACATTTAATTCCTTCTTATTTATTTTCAGTCAATGGAAAAAACTTTTTATCGGTAGGTAGTTTCCTTTTTACATGGTAAGGTTTTAGAAAGAGCGAGAAGAAAAAATATAGCGTACTCTTGTATGAATAAAGGATAGAGACATCTGTTTGGGAAATGGTAAACTATAACTTAAAAGTTACCATTATAGTTGGAAATTGTAAGTAAGTGTTACAAGTTTTTAATATTTCGCTTTTTATTTTAAGTTTCATAAATCCTTTTATTAAGAATAAAATCTATACAGTTAATTAAAATGTCTTGTTTGATCTTCGTACGACTATTATTTTTAAATTATAATTCATATTTTTATTTTAAGTTATTACATCAAGCGCTCTCTAGTGAGGAAAAGATGGCAAATTTGAAGTTTTCACCGTCAAAAGAAACGGAAAAATACGAGTTTGCGTCGCCTTAGTAGTTATCAGCTGAATTATTCGGCTAAAATGCCCTGGCACGGGCATACGTAGTCGTCGGTCCGCCATTACGACGCAGCCGAGACACGTTCGTCGTATTTAGTTAAATATTTTCGTTTATAAATGAGTAATAACGCTCATGATCTAAGTAATCGACTTCTGAATGCGTTGGATAACAATTACAATGTAAGTTTGCTGATTTTGAAGATCATAAATCCGATAAGTAAGTCGGAGATACGGAAACGTCCTGCTCAGGCCTGTGTCACCCGATTCAAGTTACGATTTAGCTTCTTGGGAGGTTGCCTTGGAAATTCCTATCGCTTTTTGATGATATTATGAAGTAAATCGGCTCCATGTGAAAAGAAATCACCTTATGTCTCGCAATATTCAAAGAAAAAGTGTCTATGTGGATACGTGAGCGATTCGAGTGCGGTGTACGGGGCCACTGACGTCGCCAGCGCTCGTCCCTCCGTCCCTAGTGCCAAATGTTTTGCAATGTGAAAGTATGGAATTGTGCCACGCGTGACCTTTCCTGTAAAATTTAGTCAGGTCAAGCCGACGATCTGAAAATCTGGCTAGTTGGCAGTGAAAATATGTTTTTTGTCTCACGATCTGACCTTACGCGAGTGGAGGTGTGAGCGCTGGCGGTGTGGCGTTCCCCGTGACCGCACAGTAATCTTTCGGCAGCCTCATCAAGATTGATAATAAGTCTGTACCGAATTAGTCGTTTTGATGGTGCAATCACAGGTCAGTTTAGCTTTCGCAACAATTTAGCATAAGGATGTCATTTTCGAAGCCTCCTTTCATTGAAACACTATTTTCTTGGCATGTGGTATTATAAATGTTATTTCAGGAATTTGTCTATACTATGACTTTATGATAATTTAAATCTAGTAAAGCTACTTTTTTAAAATTGCACAGGTGTGTTAGTAGTTATAGGTTACCACAACATGATGTTTCTAAATACATTAAAACTTTTGCTTTTCATTATAAAAGCATTATTGCTTTTGACCATTTTAATATTCCTTAGAGAAGAAAATAGGTACTTATTTTGCAAAAAACATATAATATGCAATCACATCATGGAGTCACATTTCAGTAATAAAAATTTGTAATCTTAGACTAACAATATACCTCAAATTGAGTTCTTTTATATATGAAGTATAATAAACTACTACAATTTCCATTTTTTTATACTTGTAAAGGTTTTTTCGCATGTGTACTGATAGGGTTATACATTTTTTATAGTGAATTTTTCATTTCTTTTATTACGTGGTAGAGCCATGCTACAGCTTTATTAGTAGTATGGTTGTAGCATGAATGGGTTGGCTTGACTAGAGTAGTACCAAACTCTCATAGAATATTAGTGTAAAATAGCAGCTCAACGCTGCTGTGTTTCGTATGGCGACTGTAGAGAACCGAAGACCCATTTTACTGGAAATGAAGCATTCCATCTTAGTCCTCATGGGTGACTACGCATCTGCATTTTGACTCATAATTGGGAATAAATGTAGATGTCTATGAGCCACAGCAACTACTTGCCATCAGGTGGACTGTGTGCTTGCTTGTCACCTTCATTCTTTAAATAAAAAAAATTATAACTTATCTGCAGATCCAGTCAGATATACTTACCAATAATGGAATAATCTCCATGTAGTGGCTGTGTAAAATAATCTACTTCCTCGTCACCCCGTGAGTGTTGTAATGGACGACAAAGGAATACTGAAATAAGTGGCAGCAGCATCTTCCTGCTAAGAGCTTAATAAAAAGACCGTAGTTGCTGAACTGCCCGCCAAGTGTGGCAACTGTGGCAAATATTAAATATCGTAAGTCCACTGCTGAACAAACAAAAAAAAGACTAGCTATGGATTGCCTTTTATGACACTCATGGGATGATATTGAGTAGTGGATTATGTTACCCCTCCATACCTATATACTGGATGACCTTTTTTACCGTCTGGAAAAAAATAAAGTGTAACATGTGAACATAGTAGAAGCCTGTAGCACTGATATTTTACAAAAAATTAAAACAAAAATTTTGAATTAAATAATTAAATTAATAAAAATCTATCTTAATTCAAATCATATCCACCCTACTTTATGAATGGCAACAATAAATTTAGTAGGCATATTTGACCTTGTCACTTTGCAGGGTTACAGGCTAGGGTGGATATGATTTGAACTTCGATAGATTTTAATTAATTAATTAATTTAATTCAAAATTTTTGCTTTAAATTTTTGTAAAATATAGTGCCATAGGCTTCTACTCAGTTCACATGTTACACCCTATTTTTTCCAGAGGGTAAAAAAGGTCCTCCAGTATATAAATAAATTTAAATGTTTTCTTCCTTTTTTTTAATGGCAGTATTGATTGTTCGACAATGTCATGTCTGTAATACTGAAATAAGTGGCTTCTATTATTCTTAGGGGGTTATTTGCATAAGAAATATTTTAGTACAGTTTACGCTGTGTACTGTCCAAACAAAAGGCTGATGGATGCTATGTTTCCTGTGTTACAAATTATGCAAAATTGAAGCAACACCCATATGTACCCAATGTTCATTTCCAGGAAATCTTATTTTAATTGTATTGTATAGCAACATTGTTTATCACCTTATCAAACAAGATTATTAATAATATATTGATATCACACTACCAGCTTTTATGAAATGTGTTCCTGATGTTGTATTATTAACCAAATCTATGTAGCATTAGTGTAAAACAGCTTGTTGTGGTGAAACACCCATTTACTGCATACCTTACAGTTCAGGTTAATTATGGATTTATCTATTCAAAAATGAGCTGATAAATTCAGTACTTGGATTTTTTTTAAACTGAAGTTACAAATGAGCTGATGCTCTACCTGATGGTAAGTAGTTACTGCAGCCCTTGTATAAGTGCAAACCACTTTAGGTAAAAAAGAAGGCAGTAAATGCCTTGTCGCCTCTGAGGATTAATCTCATTAATTCTTCAGACAAAAAACCATGGCTGTTTGATGGCAAAAGTAGTTGAGATGGCAGTACCCACCCAGAAATGGCGCCCTACCCCCTAGAATGAAGTCTAGTTCTGTTATAATAAGCACAGGTACATTAGGATGTGTCAATGGCTCTGTGCCTTCATTTGTGGCACTATTATTATATTAAGTTCTGCACATAGCTTTTGAGTGTTCAAAGTTGTTACCATGATCTAATTAGCCAAGAGAACATTATTATTGAGTTTCAAAGTGATCGATAATATCTATATATATAGATATATATAATCTACCCTAAATTTGAATTTTGTTGTAAACATTTTGTAATTGCATACAGTCTTCATTGACTCTGCATTAAGTCATTTGAATATTAATAGTTAAGGGTTAGTACTTTTTTGTTTGTGTTTAATATATTTATTGGTTTGTACATGTGACTTCTATTTGTGTAAATAAACATTGTTTGCTTTAATTAAAACCTGCAAGGAGAGGATCAGTATCCTTTATTAGTTCAATATTTTTATTGTACTTGTAGTGTTGCTTCATATGAATTTTTAAGTGATAACATTATTGATAATGTTAGTTGTAGGTTAAACAAAACAAAATTTGTTAGAATGTAAAAAGTAGCTCTCAGATATTATTTGTCATCACTGTTTTATTTTAATAACTTAATAATACTTATTATTAAAATTATTATTAAAAAAATATTAAAATAGTAGTCTAAACACCACTGAGTTGTGACAATGTAAGCATATCCACTACCCCATGTCCAAAAGCTCGAAGAACCGATAACCGATGGGGAAGAAAGGTTCTCGAGTGGCAGCCTCGTACTGGTAGGCGTAGTGTAGGGCGACCCCCCACTAGATGGAGTGACGACCTGGTAAGACATGCAGGAAGTCGATGGATGCAGGTGGCTCAGGACCGTGCTTTGTGACATTACTTGTGAAGGGCTGTAATGATGATGATGATGATGTCCATAAGAGGCGACAGAGGGAATCAAACCAGCCAGCCAATACACCCCCATAAGGTAATCTATGGGCGAGGTCTAAGTTCTGCAGTGAACTGTTGAGAGGCTGTAACAGTAACATTATTTAAAACAAGCTTTAGAAAATGCTATTATCTAACATTTTTAGCTGCATTAGCAGAATTGGTGACACAATGTTTAGTATCAAGGATTAATTATTTATTGTGATTTACCATAATACAAGCTAGTTAAATGTTGTAATGAGATGTATAATTAATTTTCCGTTACTTTTTAAAATAGTTAGCTTTTTAGTTGTAGATGTACCAATATAGTGACGAAGCAAACCTATGCTGTAGAAGTGAACGGCAGAGTCGGGAAGGGATGCCCTAGGGGAAAGTTTATCGACCAAATTGGCAATATATTGAAAATGGGCCAAATTAAAGGGTACCCTTAACCGACGAACATGTATACAGAGGTATATAGATGTGAAGGAGGCGAGGGAGGTGTGTCAGGATTGTGCTAAATGAAAGTCATAGTATCTGCTTACCCTTCTGTACGATAGGCGTGATTGTTTATGTATGTCCCAATAGACTATCCAGATGTTCCACAGAAAAGAAATAGACCAAAAATGTGTCACTTATTCTATACTGGATCATGAAATTATAATAATTATAAGAAAAATGTTTTGTAGAAACTGTTCTATAGAAATTTAAAAATCAATGATTTGTATGATGCTGCTTCGTAGTTTATCTATTTAGTAATTTAGTTAAGGTTCTTCTGATATAGCAGCAGCACAAATGGGTTGTCTTGACCAGGAATTGACCACATATTCAAAGAATACCGTCATAAAATAGACACATATCCTGCTATGTTTCATATGATAAGTGTAGAGTTCTGGTTCTCCTTACTTTTTACTGGTAATGAGGCATTCTATCTTATACATACATTTATATTTTAATTCTTAACCAAAAATAGATGTAGAAGTCTATAAGCCACAACATCCACTTACCATGATAATAACCCCTGGGAATGAGTTTATAGCTACCATGCTGTTTCTAATACTTGTTTTCATACTAATCGCATAAATTTATTTAAATGAATTTTGTTTAAAGAAAAGTCCCACCAGTTTCTTTGTTTTTCTTTCCAGGACAGGTTTTTTCCAAACCAGTGTAAAAGTAAAAAATGACTTCCAATAAGAATTACATGTAATCTATATTGAATAAAAATTATTCTATTCTATTTATCAGGTGGACTGTCTGATTGTTAACTTTTTATTGTAAAAAAAAACTTCTCAGATTGATTGCCTCGTTACCAGTAAAAAGAGACATCAGGCATCTCTCTCACCATATAAAACGGCAATATTATTCTGCTATTTTAGCAAGTAACCGCTATTTTATTTCAATAGTAATATTTCATATATTTATTAGCTTAGAAATAATTAATATTAAATTAAATTACAATTTCTAATAATATTTCTTTGATATCATTTCACCTGAAAGTATTTTTTTTTCATTAAAGTTAATTCAGTTACCCTTTTAACTTAAAAGTCAGTGGTTGTTGATAATTGTTGTAATTAATTTAGAAAGTATTTCACATAAATTAAGCTTTACCTAGGTACTTGATTTTTAGTCAAATTACGACTTCGAAAAAGTTAACAATGACCAGCAATTTTGTATGTTACTCAAAAATGCTCAAGTAAAATAAAAATAACGTCTTTTCGTCACAATAGTAGGAAATGGAACTTTTATACCTTTTCTCCACACACTTTAACCAATTGATTGTGAGCACTGCTCGTAAAAGTGTTTGATAAACAGATTGTTGACTATAATTGAAATTGAATTTCCTAACTACAACAAATCAATGCTCAAACAAATAAAGGATTTACAACTTCCTAAATTACTAAAAATTTTCAAAATAATGATTTTACCAACAACTTTATGGATTCTCCGAAATAGCATAAATACTTATTATGTTTTATTAATCAAAGTAAGGCTTCTAGAATTATGATAGAATATTGATAACTAAGTGGTTTAGTAGTAAAGTTAGTGAACATTACACAAGTCAAGATGTTTCTATTGAGTGTAAACTGGTTCATAAAAGGCCACTGCTCCTTCATAGATTGCCTCTGGGTTGGAATATTTGCCACAGTTGCCACACTTGGTAGGCTGGTTGGAAACTTTTTTGCTTTGAGTTATGTTATCAAGAAGATGCTGCCCGTCTGCTGTTACATTTTCCCTTTGTCGTCTCTTGCGATACCCACGGAATAAGATGATGTAGTAGATTCTCTTAAGCCACCACTACACAGCATATCTGTTATTTATGAGTAAAATTGTGTTGAATACTTTTTTTTATAGAAGTAAAGGTGAAAAGTGAGCACACTGCTAGCGTGCATTATGCCACTATTTCAAACATATTCTTTTTAATATAACAAATATTATAATTTGTGTGATAATGTTGTTTTAGATTTAATTTTTTTGTACTTAAAGCAACGCAAACCTACATTTAAAAATAGGTAACAATGTTTTAAAAAACCATATAATCTTGACACATATCACATTTAAAATGTTGATCCAATATTTAGATTCTTGACTAACATTTCATCTGATGGCATGGTAATGGAGCTGAAGATGGTAATTCTGATGTACTCACAATTTTTAATTGTACATTACCTTTTTTAATTTCAGGTTGTCGACATGCATGCTGTCAACGAAATTATATCCATTTTGGAGAAAATCAATATTACAAAAGAGCTGTTGGAGGTAAAATTCCACATAAATTCTCCAAATGTTGGGAATTCATGGCTGCACTAATTATTCTGTTAGTGAATATTAGCTAATTAAGTAAGCACGTGTGCGTAATAATGTGAATAAAATTTACACATGCTGGATTTGGTATTAAAATTATTATTTTTTTAAAGTATTTTTTACGATATAATGTTTTTTTTTTAAATAATTTATGGTGTTTTTCCTTTTTTACCACAATTTTATTAAATTACTTTGTGTATGTCTGTTTAGGTGGGAATTAGTATTTGATTTTAAACTAACTTCCTGATGAGCTAGAGACTTCAAGACTCTCAAGTTCAAGTCTCTTTTAACATAGTTCAGAATAAAAACGTGGTAAAAAGCAAAAAGGTTTTTTGAAAATCAAGTTAGTAATGATTTTAAAATTTATTGATAAAATGTGGTAGGAAAAGGTTTCATTTGGGGTGTTAGTTTAATCAGAGAAAGCAGGATGTAAAAACACCTGCCTGCATATGATCCACTGTTGTTCACAGACTTCCTTTCATTTCTGAGAGGATTTTATAATAAGGAAGATATTATGCCTTTGAAGTATTTTTAATTTATCACAGTTGCAACTTTTGGCAAAAACTGAACTTGGGTTATATGGAGTGTAGAAGTAAGGAGTACAGACTGTGTATTAAAGTGTCCATAGAAAAACGTTAAATAAGGGTGGCGCCACTATAGCTACGAAGTATACTGTAAAGAACGCACCGAAAAATATTAGTGGGATAGACGACTTTTTCGCGTTTATATTTACTAAATAAAATTATTTTAGATTTTAGAGCTACTGAGCAGTTTGGCAGCACACTTAAACCGTCGACAATTGCTAAGTTCATTTCATCCCAGTAGCTACTCGAGCGCTGTTGTGGAGAGTTATTGTTACTGTTATTTACTGCTTACAGATAGCCACTTTTTCAACTATCCTACTATGGGAGTTGGTACTCCTTACTTCTACACTCCATATTGGGTTAGCCTTGCCATTGGCCATGGTAGCTCAGAGGCCCAATAAATCTTTATTATGGCAACATTTTTTTTAAATGAGTTGACATTAACACGCTGATGATGATGATGAAATTTTTCCAAATTATTATTATATTAAATAAAATTATTATATTAATAATAAATTACCATTATATTATATTTATTTTGACAAATTATTGTAAAACCAAGATATATAAACAAACACTTAAATGTATGTTTTCTCTCGTGTTCGCAGACCACCCGACTGGGCAAGCATGTGAATGAACTACGACGGAAGACCACAGATCCGACGCTCGCCCGCCGCGCTAAAGTGCTGGTGAAGAGATGGCGGGACCTCGTCATACCCGCGGTCGCCTCGCCAGCGCACACTGGTAAACATTAACTTTAAAATATGATTGATCTTCTGTTTTTATTTATATTTGGAGTTACATCTTGGAAGATGATGGATGATAACATTCCATATTCAATTTCATATGATGGGAAAAATAAATAATAAATAAATAATGTGCTCCAGACCAAATTTCGGCACGGCGGCCAGCCTCAACGGAGGCTAGCCATCGGTGCGGGACAGGATTATAGTGCCCAAGTGTATGCACAAGCACAGGTGCAGTCTCTATTCCCTCACCTCATAATCCGATGTGATGGTAAACCGACACGACCGGAGAGAGATCAGGCGGTGAACCGACGGCTTTACGTGCTTTCCGAGGCACGGGGGTGAGACACCGCCAACTTCCTGACTCCGGGCAACTACTGAGAATTTCTTGACGGAAAAACTCAATAATTAATTTATTTGGCCCGACCCGGGATTCGAAACCAGGACCTCATAGTCAGCAGTCGCACTACTACAACCACTAGACCAACGAGGCAGTCAATTACACTATATACTATCGTAAACACTCTTTCATATAATGTTTATATTTATTCTTAGGTATGATGAGGTCTAAGGTGTATAGGTATATGTTGGTAAAAAAATAATATTTATTAGTTAGTCAGTAGATTGCCTTGTACACAGAGTTATTTAGCATAGTTGTCATGTTTGACAGGCGAGTTCTCAACTTCAATATTTATTATTATTAGAATCAGGGCTGCTGCCCATTTGCTGATACAGTTTCCTACTGTCATGGGGTAGGTTCCTCTTACGTCGCTTCTAAAAATCGATACCAAATAGATCATTTGCATGCAGTCAGAGACACAAGAGCAAGAGTATATATGTATTTACACATAATAACTCTAACTTATATGTTGTAGAGCCATGCTGCAGTTATATTAGTAGTATAGTTGTAGCATGAATGTGTCTGTTCGACCAGGGAAGGACTGCGCTCTCACAGAATACCAGCGTAAAATAGTAGCGGAGACCCTTCGAGGTACCCGACCCGTAATCGAGGATAGATGTTGATGTCTATGGGCCACAGCAGCCACTTACCATCAGGTGGACTGTGTGCTTGTTTGTCACTCTATCCTATAAAAAAATTTAAGGTTTGTCTTAAGATTAATAGTAGTAGATGTATGAGATTTGATGACTACTAAGCTATGTGGTTTCTAACAAGACTTGTCTGGTGTTCCACTTCTTACTCAACTGTGTTCAGTCTTTTAGCATCATGGTTATAAGGATTGAAAAAAAAATCTACTCAAAATTATGTCAATTGAAAATAATAATAACAACTATATAACTATCGCAAAATCCCCCGTAAGGCAGTTTATGGGGGAGGCCTATGTTTAGTGGTGAACTTTTGACAGGCTGTTATGAATGAATGAATTGTTTGTAATTGCATTAAGCTATGCTTTGGCTTAATTTTTTTCTTTCTAAAAATCATATTGTGCTACAGGTTCAAACCGGTCGTCGGCAGAGAGGCAGGTGCGACGGTTGGGCGGTACGCCGCTCACATCCCCAGCGTTGACACGGGTATTTATTAAAACTTTGTTTTTATTTAGACAATTTCTATTAAAGTTAAAAAGTTAAAGTTACAGCCTTTATACGTCTCACTGCTGGGCGCAGGCCTCCTCTCATTTCTGAGAGAGTTTTAGGGCAAGGAAATGTCCGGCGCACTGCCCCATAACGTATTGGCGAACTTCACATGTCTTCGAAATATTATTTTTTTCTTATTTCTCAGACATGCTTGGTTTCCTCACGATGTTTTCCTTGCACGAGCACGTGGTAAAGCAACACATAAAACTGCAATTAACAATTACATTGGTGCCGATGGGGCTCGAACACGGATTGTCGGCGTACTGTGAAATTTACAGCGAGCGCTAACCATCTAAGCTACCACGGCTCTATTACGAATGTTAAATTCACATTCGTATAACGTATTTCATACATCGTGAAATGATTAACAGAAGCAATAATAAATTTGTAATGTTTTTAATAAAGTTGGGCTATTATAAATCTGGGAACATAACTTTGACGGCGCCGTGGCTCAGTTGCTTAGCAATGAGTTGTGATGCTGAAGGCTGCGAGTTAGAATCCCGCACGGAACAAGTACTTGTATGTTAGTTAGTTACAGCCTATATACGTCCCACTCCTGGGCACAAGCCTCCGCTCATTTCTGAGAAGAAATGCGTGTTGGCGAACTTCACGTCTTTGAAATATTTTTTTTATTATTTTTCATACATGCAGGGTTCCTCACGATGTTTTCCTTCATCGCCGAGCACGTGGTAAATCAGCACTTAAAATTGCAATCGAACTGGGATCGAATTGGGATCGAACCCGGTTTACTCGCATACTGTAAAATTTACAGCGAGCGCTAACCATCTGAGCTACCATGGCCCCAGTAGTACTTGTATTGCCTACAAATAATTGTTCCTGGTATGGATGTTTGTCCTTGTGAAATTTCTGTGTGTAAACTACCTCTACGATACAGGAGAAAATCGTAGTGGGTTTTTTGTAAAAGAAAGACTTAATATCCCCTAAGGGGATAATGATCTCATGAATTCAAATCTGATGATCTGATCGTCCCCTATTATATTGTCAACATATACTGCTGTGCGGAATGGGCTTGCCAATTAATTAATTTTAAGGATGCGTCATCAGGCAATCATTTCGTAAATATTATTCCATAATTAAGACACTAATGAGTAACACTAATTAAGACACTATGAGAGAGTGACGTTAGAGAATATATCATCCCATTTTGTCCCGTGGGTGTCGTAAACGTCCCATGAGTGCCAGAGAAATCTTATGGCATTCGATAAATGGCGTTATAGCTATCTCGCTTACGCCAGACGTAAAATATGAAGACCAGCGACGGCCAGGAGTGTCAAAAGCGCAAGAGCTCTAAGATAAATTTTTACTACAGATATAATTTGTAGTATTGGGGCAATGAGAAATGCAGATTATACCGAAAAGTCTTTTATTTTCCGCCAAAAACAGAGAGCACACACTTTTATTTTTACGGTTATCGCCATATTGCCCCTCCATTCGTCATCTCTTTTACACACATCCTTTCTCGCTCGCCCTCACTCCTGCCTGTATAGCTATACTTTGTTACAATCTTACATATATACAACATGTAACATAATTAACGCACTTTGAGAAAGTAGTTTCTTCAGAATCGTTTACGAATCGATTCCTATCATTTTTAATATAGGTAATTTTTTATCCCAAAAATTATTAAAAACTACGTAAATTACAGTCAAAACAAACTGAAATGGACCGTAACTTAAGGCAATAAGACTTTTAACGAGTGCAGTTTTATTTGTATTATTACTAATTCGGTCATTCAATAAAAATAAAGAAAAATTAACTTTATTTCAAGCATGTTAAAGTTATTGCGTTCGTGGACTTGTACTGTGACCACAACATTTTTCCGGAATTAGTATAACTAATTTGATAAATAATCAGTGCATAAAAATGTTTAACTAAAATTCAGTGTATGTATTATGATTATAACATAATATACTAATTGGTCTGAGAGTGTGCGTTAATTACGTTACATATTGGGAAGGCCATGCCAGCAGTGGATGTCGCGACACTACAAATATTTTGAAGAGGGCAGAGCTGCAAGTCCCTCGAACTTTCTTTATTTGTGTTTGGATCTGTAGTTTTGGGTTTACTTTTATTAGTGTGATATACTTAACAATCAATTGCAGTGGCGGTGAAAGAATATCCGCTACTCCACTTCATTCCGCAGAGTGGAACTGAAACATGAAATGGACAGCAACATCTTTCTGATAACAACTCAAAATATTAAGAAATTGCGGTTGCTAATCTGCCTGCCGAGCGTGGCAACTATTGCAAAATCACCCCCATAAAACAGTCTATGGGGAAGGCCTAGGTTGAGCAGTAAACTTATAGGCTGTAATGGATGGATGATTCAATAATAATTATCACATAAATTAATTTGCAGCATGTCGTGAGCCCGGCGGTGCCCAGCCCCAGACCTCCGTCTCGGCCGGGTAAGTTTTTTCATGAGTATCATCTATATGCATGGTATTCTGTCAGCCAAGTTCTGAAAAGAAAAAGTCGACGCACCAGCATTGTGTATATTTACACGAACAATTTCGAGTTACTTTTGAACGCTCATAACTCAAAAACAATTATATTTGCATATTTATAGTTTTGCATATCAATTAAGGACCCTTTCAGTACCAAGAATTCTGTATTTCATGAATAAACCTGTTAAAATTTTTGAGTTATTAAGGTCTGAGAAAATCATTAATGTTATATAATATTATGTGTGATTACTTCTAAGCACTGTACTCAAAATTATTCGTACCAAATAACTTTGTCGACATTTGATTCTTATATCTGGATTAAAAAAAACAGTAAAGTGTAAAAGGAAGAAAAATTTAGTAATTGTCGCCCATGCATTTATTTAGATTAATAAAAGGATGTTTAAAAAAAATTATATCCCACGAGAAACATAAATTTTCAAAGCGGCTAAATTCGGTTCAAACAATATATGAGGTTGTCAACTTCGCTGCAAATTTTTTAATAAAATAAAGAAGCACCTGTTTGCAGCTGGTAATAAAAGCATTATATAATATGAAATGTCAGTTACTAATACAGTTAAAAAAGTTAATAAAATCTTCATAAGTTGTTATCCTCGTATCCTCTTCTACTACTTTTTCTCTTTGCCTCTTGGTACTTAATGATATCTTAAATTTTTTACACTTGTGTTTACACAGCAATGGTTACTCCATTCTCTGAAATCCTAAGTCTGTACTAACTGGAAATATGAAAGAACAAGGATAATATCAAAAATTGAAAAAACAAATCACAAACAAGTGCTACAAACCGTTATAAATCATTCAATCGCTAAAATCTGCTGGTTATAACGAGTTATATTAGCTATTTATAGCAAATTCCGGTCGAGCCGACACATTCCTGATACAGCCATAATATAGCTGTAGTGTGGCTTTACCATGTAAGATATTAATGTGTTATTAATTGTAATTATTTTCCAGCGTGGGGTGGCTATGAGTCTGACTCACAGGACGTGATCCTTGTAGACGACGACCCGCCCACAGTGTTGCCGCCGCCTCCTTTGCTAAACGCACTGCACAAGCCTGTCACGCCTCGTAAGTGAACTGATTAGTTTCTTATTCATGTCCTTGGTGTAAATTTAGTTAAGATTTTACAGAAGAATTGTTTCACACAAACTAGAAGAGCCTAATACATAAGAGTTGCTCTCTGATTTTTGATTAATAATGAAATAAAAAAGTATATTAAGAATAGCAATAAAATATACAGCAGTAACTATGTTATCCAACATTGATTTTTATAGGATGTGCTTTTAATTTTAGCAATAAAGAGGCAACCATCCCCCGAGCCTCTGCACGATGACAAGAAGGCGAAGAGAGATAAAAAACCCAAGAAAAGAAGGTAAGGGCCGAAATTTATTCAAGAAATATTAATAGTGATCTACCATGCGTGATGACGTCTGATGGTGAATTCTTGATAAAAACCTGTATATCCAGGTGTGGACTTGTGTTTTTAATTCTTAAAAATAATATATATAATTATTTGCAATATTTACTTATATAATTCTTTTGTCTGTGTGTACGTGACTGAACTCCACCTAAACAGCTGGAATTTTATGATGCTGTTGTAAATAATCTAAAATATTCTTTCTTACAGTCAAAGTACCCTGTTGTTAGTGATTTTAATACCGAACTACACAAAATGAAGATATTTTACTTAAAATCTTATGCTGGTGCTACAGGATCTTTCAACTTCTTTACAAACAAAGGATTGATGTATAAAAGAGTAGTCTGCGTGCTAGATTTGGCAGACGTCGCCTGACGTTCGTATGAGTTCACCCGATGTTTTGCTCTAACAGCGTGATTTAATTAAGCCCAACCCAATACATTATATTCTTCTATTTCGATTTATGGTATCCGCCAAGTCTTGAGAAAAAACTCTTGATGATAACTTTGCTACTCCTTTTTATTTTTGCTTAGTCTACGGCGGCCTGGTTTGTAATTATAACAAGATCGCATAGTTAGGTATGTGCGATTTCTCGGAGTTGAACGATTATGTAGCTCCAGCATTAGCATATCTACTTTGCGAAGATTTACAGTCGTGTAGAAAAAAATATGTATACATCTTTTTGCATTTGCCAGGAGCCACAGTCGTGCCGGTTCCGGTACGGAGACGACAGCCATACCGGAGGGCGCAGGCCCCGGGGCACCCAGTACGGCCTGGAGCGCCCGCAACGGATCCGCACACGCACACACGCACGCAGCGCCCCACACACATACGCATACACACGCACACGCACACGAGAGGAGACGGAACGGCTGCCGACGAGACGCTGTGGACCCGTACGCAGCACTTGTTAATAGGTTGCCACCGGCTGGCGCGAAGAAGGTGACTTATTAATTTTATTTTTAAAAGATAGGGCTACAAACAAGCACACAGTCTACGTGATGGTAAGTTGTGTCTGTGGCCCATAGACATCTACATTTATCCTCGATTACGAATCAAAATGCAGATGTCACCTCTGATGACTGAGGAGGAAGATGGAATGCCTCGTTTCCACTATAAAATATCTCTGGATCTCTACACTCACCATACAAAACAGCAGTGTTAAGAGGTTAGAGTAAGTCAGCTCAAATTCTAATTTCGCCCCCATTTCCTCGCGCGTCGTATGCTATGTACCGATATGTTTGTAATCACTAATACTGTAAGTAGAAAGGTCGTTAGACACTTATTTCATTAGGTTTATCATATTTATGCCTGTTTCTTAAAGCCAAGCCAGCCGCTTCTTATTTTTATCACGGTTATTTCCCATTTTAATTTTACGTCGTACTGTTGCGTAATGTATATTCTGATCGTAAGCGACACAACTTCTCCCTTCAAAAGCCTAAGCGATACTAACGGAACGACAGGAATCAAGCTCAAGACGCCGATAGTTTAGGTAATTTCTTTTTACAGTGAAAATAATGGTATTTTAAAAAAAGTAAATAACATAAGCACTGCTTTATAGTTAGTTCAGTTAGTATGCAAAGTTTCATGATCTTATTTAAAGTATTTTATGAATGAACAGCGGTTTATTGTTTATTTTGGAGGTAACTTTGGATTTTTTTTCTATCGAGAAAATTTTACGAAATCGTGTTTTCGTCTAACATAATCACTAACATTAATCCTCAACTTTACCATATATTTATATAAAAATTAATGCTGCAATATTTTCGGCATAACGATGGATCTTGCTAAGCCATTTGACATTATATTTCCCCTTAAGCTACTATTTCACGCTGGTCCTCTGTGACTTCTATTTATATAACTATGTAATGGAATATTTCAATGTAATTTTCACTTTTAGACAGCCTATTGACTTGAAAATAGGCACTCGTCTCAATGATAATACAATTATTTAATAACTTGATCCTAGTGTCCTGATCAGGATTATCAGAATAAAATAAAATAATTAATATAGTTTAAGGTTTTAAAACTTTTACATTATTTTTACGTGGTAGAGCCATGCTGCTGCTATATTAGTAGTATAGTTGTAGCAAAAATGGCTCCGCTCGACCGGGGAAGGACCATGCTCTCACAGAATACCAGTGTAAAATAGCAGTTTTAAGCTTCGCGATTATTTCTCCTTGTAGTTATGTTATATTGTCCTCGAACGATGTCATCTGTTTACAAACACTCGGTAAATTGATGTCATGATGCGCCTTGCCATTTCATGATACGCCGCCATTTCATGATTTATATATAAATGTATGCAGCTTTGCTGTTGTCCGCCGACGACAGAATATACAATAGTTACAGTATGTCTTTATTTCTTCTAGTATTGGTTATTTCATACAGAGCCTTGGTGGTTACATAAATTGTAAACATTTGTGTATGTTTCAGGTGAAGACGACGAAGGAGCTCCTGGAGCAAATCCAGTCGCGAGGCAGCAAGGCAGCCTCCCGACCAGCCTCGCCCGCCTCCCCGGCCTCGCCCGACGTCATGCTCATAGAGCCCGACTGTGAGTGCCTGACTATTTCACTAGGGATAAAATTACTTCTTTGCTTAATAATCTGACTGGAACGGACTTTTACCAATCTGCTACTTAGCACAAGTATATTCTAAACATACATATCAGTCATACATCACAAATCCAGCAAGGAGTTTTGCTGCCATGTATGGGCTGGTGCTGCAAAATGATACATACAATTTATAGTAAGGTGGGTGGCTCGTTTGTATTTCCTTCTACTTTTATTAAAAAAATAAATCTTATTCTACTTCTACTGATATACATCCTTATAGTGTCATCAGGGATTTTGGATTTGAGATTTTGCTATGGACACTTACATGAATAAATAAGTCTATGTTACATGTAACAACTTTTATTTTGAATGCTCTAGATCGTTCAGGAGACAAATTCTCGCCTTAATATTTCATAGTAATGGGTACACACTTAAAAAAAATTTAATGAGGAAACATCTTGTCTTAAAAGTTCAATTGCATTAATAAATAGAACTAGAAATGGTTTTATTTTGACTGTAATTATTATTACTGTCAATATGTAGTATAGTTTGTCGGTAGACATAGCTGCCCATAAAATAGTTAGATTCTTTTTTTCTGTTATATATCTTTATTGACTTATTATGGACCCGCATATAGGCAACTGTAATTGGCATTTTCCTATATTTTAAATTTCTTTTAAACAACATTCCAGCATACTCCAAAGTTGAGTCCCCACTCCGGAATGGCAGCAGCGAGCCGAAGCTCTGCTCTGCACCCGCGAGCCCCGTACCCTCGCCACCGCTCGACGACGAATTCGCGTGCGAACGCGAACAGTGCACTTGTGGGGAGGAGATTCAAGACACGTGTCCCGCAGCCGTGCTGCGGCGAGTTGCGCCGGCACACGTGCACGCGCTGCACAACGCGCTTGTTCCCGGGGTGAATGGCACGCGTGCCCCCCTCCACCCCCACCAATTTGCTGTACGCAAGCTCACCGATCCTGATAAACCTGGGCTGTTCACTAGTGTTGTGCCTCTATTTAAATACTCGGATTATGCGGATGATTATTGTGTGAAAAATATATCGCGAGTGCCCGTTTGTACGCATTTACCGTGGACCGAATTTGCGCCTCCGCCGCCGGATCCCCCACCACCTCCTTCCCCGCCTCCGCCTAGACCGTATCCTGTTGAAGATGAAACACCAGAAGAGACTGAGATAAAAGTGGAACCAGACAGTCCAAAGATTGAAGAGATTGCTTATGAGTGTCCGAAAGTGGAAGCGGAAATGGTTGGAGTGCCGAATTTGGAGCCGAGCGAAAGGTTGAAGGCTCCGTTGCTATCTGTTGAAGAAAAGAAACAATTTGGGGAAAGTGAACCTGTTGTGAAGATGGAAGTGCAGGAAGAGTTTGCGAGTGAACCGCAGGAGCATAGGACTGTGGAGCGGACGAAAGAAGAGCTTGATGGGAAAGGGTTGTATGCATTATGCGAGAGTGCTCGACGTGCGGTACCATATACATACGAGCAAGCAAGTGTTGCACCAGTGGTGTCATTGTCTACGGACAGGTTGGAAGAGACGTTTGCTGAAGCAGCTGCGGAAACGACCCGTGACGAGCTAGATCGACCCCCAAGACCTGTTCGATTTGCTGAGTGGCATGAATGTGCTAAACTCGGTGATCTGATTGCTCTCCCGTATGTCGTGATCGACTGACGCGCTCCTGTGATCACTCCCGCGTGCTAACTCAGAGATGTGAAGTGCCAAATTGTACTATCTCTCGGTCCGCGGCCGCCCGACCAAAGCTTCCGTTGTCTCGCTGTGTTCCAAGTGTCCTTATGTTAGTTTTAAGAGTAACCAATGTATATAAGAGTGTTGGTTAGTCCATGTGAGCGCTCGAATATGTACATACAGTTTAAGTTAGCGAATGTAGATAGGAATGTAATCAGCGAGGATGTTACGCCCGCGACTTCACGATGGACTCTTGTGGTGTTCGTTGCGTGTCTGCTGATGTGTTTTTAGTCATGTATTTATTTTTTAATTGTTTATAAGTGGAGGCATCGTTCTCTCATGTTAGTTGTGATATTGATGCATAAAATCCCTAGCCGAGAGCCTCGAGCGGCTGGTAAAGACTGGTTTTTATACATTCTGTCAGGGCTCCGCTCCATATGATATTGTATAGAAAACTGATGGAAAACAAAAAATCTCTAGACTGTTGCATATTGAGTTATCTTGTTACCGATTGTGATTTATGAAGAAAAATTAGGTAATTAATAATAATAGGAGTTCCAATTGTATATTATACATATATATTGATTGCTATATCAATGAGTCAAATATCAATAAAGTGATTTATAACCTTTAAATAATTGTTCTAAACGACCACTGTACAACTGATTGTTCCAAAAATTTGTACCTTTAAAGCTCTGATCCAAGAGAAAGGGTAAATGGAATCTTTTGACTAACAAAAGACATTAAAAATGTGAATAATTTCATTGCTTGAATATTTCTATTTCCTTTTGTGTGCTAAATGTGGAGCTGGCATATCAATACTTTCAAAACCACCGTGATGTGTTAAATAATTCAGAAATTACATTTTAGACTGCAAAAAAGAATGTATTTTCCTAAAACTACATTTTGGTTTTGATATTGCAACATAGTGATAAATCTAATTTTAAGAGATACAAATATTAAAACTAAAACTTTATATAAAATAGTTAATACATGCTTTCCGTCATATAAAGCCAGCGACATGTCATTGCAAATTTGTATTCATGAACAAAGAGAATTTTTGAATTTTTTTTTGTTTTAAATGCAAAAGTTTCATCTACCTTTTGACGGTGCTCTGAGCTTACGAGAGTTATTTTTCTGTATATTTAAAATGTTGCAAGTGATACCGTTGGGACATGTGGCGTGGACGCACGCGAAACACTTCTTTACGGACCGTTTGTTTTTTGTTAAGAGTACAATGTTTTGTTTGGCGCGTGTGTCCCCACCAACCGAAGCCAAAGTTTAGTGGATTCATTAAGTGCTAGATATTTTTGCGCAAATTGTCTACATCACATATGTTTAAGGTAACTTAAAATATGTTTTTCATTGTAATTAGCAGTGCTGGGCTTGTACAATATTAGGTTACAATTATTTGTTGTCTATGAAAGCTCATGATGTAGAATATAAGTAACCTTCAAAGAGCTCTGTTATAATTGGCTTTACCAAAAATTGGAATATAAGTATTTCCCAAACCTCAACAAACACAATATTATTTAAATCATTAATGTACAAATTGTTGACTCAGTTTGTATTTGTTGTGCAAGTTTTGAATTGTATGGCAATAGTTTAATTTTCTGTAAATAAATAAAAAGTTTCATAAATATTAAGTATAATTATCAACATTAATAAATTTGTATTTATCATTCACATACTTCTTACACATTCACATGTTTTAAAGACTTAAATTCATTTTTTTAAAATTGAAAACAAATCATTCTAATCACAAATCAATAAAAAACTATATACATAAAGCATAATAATAAAATTAAAAAATTATATCTATAATAAAGCCAAAGGAAACAATTTTCCTGCTTTCTAGTAAATACCATTCTTCTTACAATTCTGTATTTGCCGAACTGCTCTGTAATAGATTTGTGCATTACTTTCGAGTAAAACTCAGTTTGATTCGATAGTTCTGTGCATTTTAATTTTATAATTCTATGGTGATTTTTTCAGTTATCAGATGAAAGTTATTTATCAGCTAATTTTAACCTACTTGCATATAGCTCTGTGGTAGCCATCCCTCCTGCCAACCATGGCATCTGGCAAATATCCTCCCTATGAGGCAATCTTTTTATACATGATAGAGCCATGCTGCAGCTATATTAGTAGTATAGTTGTAGCACAAATGGTCGGCTCGACCAAGGAAGGACCACACTCTCACAGAATACCAGAGTACAATGGTAGCTTAATGCTGCTGTGCTTCGTATGGTGAGTGTATAGAACCGGAGACCCTTTTTACTGGCAATGAGGTATTCCACCTCAGTCCTCACGGGTGACACGCATCTGCATTTTGATTTTTAATGGAGGATGGATGTAGATGTCTATGGGCCGCAGCAACCACTTACCATCAGATGGACTGTGTGCTCGTTTGTCACTAAATGCTATTAAAAAAACAATAAATACTTTTAGCTTGTTGAAGTCGGATTGTACTTTGTATGTGTTATTCATACAACTATAATTTTTTTTTATGTTGTATTTTATCCTGTGAATAACTTATTTCATAATTGAAAAATCTGCCCTAAGTAGAAAATGTGTATTTTACCAGATAAATTATAAGAAAGTTGATAAATGTGCAACTAAAATTTATTTCCTTTTATATTTACTATGGTAAAGATTCAGACCTTAAATGTCATCTCTGAAATATATCCTGTCCTGTGGGTTTTCGGGTGTTAGTGTCTAATAAACATATTTATTAAAAGCAATAATAGGCAATCAAAATAGAATGAGGACTGTTGAAAATAAGGGATTGAATTTGAAAATAAAAAATGTACTGATTTTGCGCCAGTATTATTATATTTATTACAGTTTCATTCGAGAAAATTGTTTCTAAAAATGGATATGTTCGATCAATTCGTGCCTTCCTGGTGGACTGTAATAACAATTGTCACTTAGTTCATGAAAAAAGATTTTTCATAAAAAGTTGAGTGAACTGGCTAAAATAATTGCCATAAAATTTCAAGTCTCAAAACAATTTGTCTCTTTTCTTGTTATTTCATCATATTATTTGTAGGCGAATATTTAGTTGTTCTTAATTAATCTGTCATTGTTTCATTTTCATTTATGGATCGATCATGCGAATACTAGGTACAGCCAAAAATTATTAAAGATTATAGAAATGTACAAAAAATACTAAATGTTGTCATTTTGTTAGTTACTAATACCATGTTTTGGTTTGGTTTTATCTTTGTTTTATCATCATGTTTATATATATTTTAGTCCCACTTGTAAATATTAAGCCGACTCAAAAGTATTGTTATGAATTTGTAATACGTGCGCAGGCGCATGTATATTAACTGCACTTTATTACTTACGTATTAAAATAGGGTTGAGCTACTTTGGGATTGATATGTATTTATCTTTACTATGAAATTTTTGTTTGCTTGTAGCTTTGTATTGTTTTATAATTTTACGATGTGGTGAATTTAGTCCCCTTATCTGAGCTCTCTGTAAATTGAGAAGGTTGTTTTGTTCTCATGTGTGAAAATGGATCCATTAAACTTGGTGTTAAACCAAAAGGCCTTATGCGTAAAGCGGCGGTTAAATCCGGACGCGGAGCTTGTATAGTGATGGTGATGTAACCCGCAGACTGCCTGTTGGACTTGATCCAAAATTTTGGTAAAATATAAAAGCAAAATATATGTGTTTTTATTACGATATTCTGTTTTATTTTACTCTTGTGGTCGTGTGGTGGTACCGTAAGCGAATTGGTCACCCCCATCACGCCCCGTGAATGAGACGCGAATAGCAATGCCGGAAGCCAGGTCATGGGATTACAGAACTTTTCTGTGAGGTAACAAGTGTCGTTCTGTTTTCGGTTATTTTGTATTTCTGAAAGCTGTTGATTTACTTATTATTTTATTCCCGCTAAGAAAATTAAAATTTTTCAAAATTCGGGAAGTTATTGTTTCGTGCGTGCGTGCGGGTGTGTGTGTGTGTGTGTGTGTGTGTGTGTGTGTGTGTGTGTGTGTGTGTGTGTGTGTGTGTGTGTGTGTGTGTGTCGGTGTGTGTGTGTGTGTGTGTGTGTGTGTGTGTGTGTGTGTGTGTGTGTGTGTGTGTGTGTGTGTGTCTGTGTGTGTGTGTGTGTGTGTGTGTGTGTCTGTGTGTGTGTGCTGTGTGTGTGTGTGTGTGTGTGTGTGTGTGTGTGTGTGTGTGTGTGTGTGTGTGTGTGTGTGTGTGTGTGTGTGTGTGTGTGTGTGTGTGTGTGTGTGTGTGTGTGTGTGTGTGTGTGTGTGTGTGTGTGTGTGTGTGTGTGTGTGTGTGTGTGTATCTGTGTGTCTGTGTGTGTCGTGTGTGTGTGTGAGCGTGACTGTGTGTGTGTGACTGTGTGTGTGTGACTGTGTGTGTGTGACGCGCGTCGCTGTGTGTGTGTGTGTGTGTGTGTGTGTGTGTGTGTGTGTGTGTGTGTGTGTGTGCGTGCGTGCGGTGCGCGTGTGTGTGTGTGTGTGTGTGTGTGTGTGTGTGTGCGTGTGTGTGTGTGTATGCGCGCGCGCTTGTTAGTGTGCGCGTGTGTGTAAACCTATTATTAATTTATTAATAACTTGCACGATTTTTGATTTTTTAATTACTCCGATATTTTATATTCAACGTCATAATTTGGTGAAATTTGGAGCGCTTTGCATTTGAAATTAGCGAGAAGTTCCAGGGATGGCCTGCAGGGTCAACCAATGTTTTTTTGTTTATTCTTTGTGTTGTGTTGTGTGTGGTGTTAGTTTTAGTAGTTATAAATCCTTAAGTATTTAGACATTGTGTTATTTGATATCTAATTAATTAAAATAAAATTGGGAAGATCCTCCCGATCCTTATAGGGTTCCATGTGACTTCCATTCTGCTCCCAAAAAAAAAAACATACCCATCGAATTCGAACAGTATAAGCGTAAAAGATCACAGGCATTCAATAATTCAGTTCATCCTCAGAAAAGATTAATTACAGATCTATCAGAACC